CAAGCTAAATTTAGAATCGGGGTTTCTTATTCATTGATCATGATTGACAGCTCCAAAAATAAATATTGCGAATAATTTGAAGAAGTTATTAATGTAATATAAATTCGTACATTATTGTACACTTATAACCGGACGTCCATTCATTTGATCTAGAGTCAATTACTGGACGTCCAATTACTGGATTCAATTTAGACATTGTAGGTACTACCAAAAATTTGCTGATGTTCCATAATGAAACAAGAGCAGATATGAATAAAGAAGATTATACATTATCAAACGAATCAAATTCTCAAGAAATCTCTTCTACTATCTAGTATTGTTTCGCTTAATTGTTTTATTCTCGAAATCAATTCCAACAAAATGTGTGACTAATATATTTCCAAGCATATACATGCGAACGTGCGTCCTTTACTATTATTTAAATTAAAACTGCACTTTGCGATTATATTATCTAAACCTTGATCAATTTCATTATCGAATGAATATTAATAATCATTGCACTCGATCATAATTACATTTTACGCAAGTACAAAATTGCAAGCACCTTTCAAAAATCATTGCAAACCAATAAAAATTATACAGATAAATGCTGAATAGACAATGCTACAATCGTAATTCATTTTCATCCTTGAAAGTGAAATGTAGTAAAGCCAAAGCAAAATATTTCAATGACAAATTATAAAACTGTCGTTAACAAAAATCGCGACGTGCGAAACTACAAAGTAAATTTATCGTCGAAAGCAAAAAAAGCAACGAGTTCAAGAGACTCGATTATGAGCGAAAAAAGAACTATTATATAACTAAAAGTTTATTTTTGTTTTAACTGCAATCAGAACTTTTTTATTCGATTTATGCTCCAATAATGATAAGGTATCAATAGATAAATTGTATAATAGTAATAGAATAGAATAGTAAAATAAAATGATTAATATGATTTGAAAGAAGAATGCAGATGATTGATGATTTATAGTAGAAGAGAAAATGATGAGGGAACTGAAAGTCGAAGCACAGGTCCAGGAAGCAAGGAAGGGAAAATATAAATGAAATGTGAATAATAGTAATTAAATGGCAATGGGAAAATAAACGAGGCATAGAAAGGGAATCAATGATTTTTGGTGCTCTCACACCATGGAGCTGCCTTCGAGCAGACTATCATTTATTATTATTACTGATGAGATATATTGCAGAAACGCCTAAAAAAGCTACTTTCAATTGTTATCATATTTACACTTGAGATTATCTAAAATATGATATTACTACTGATTGATATCAGTGGGTATCGAACTCGGGATCAGTGCTTGCTGTAGTAAGTTTTTATCACGGTAAACAAGAATTTCATATTAACATGACTTCAGCAATAATTTCAATAATGTGCTTACAAAATAATCATTTATCAGTAACAGAGATAGTTCTGCATGACTTGTAAACCCCGTTTTAAAATAGCATTTTTAGCTAATAAATGTGATGAGAACATCCGCATATAAACACAAGGCATGCTAAATTAATAAATAACATCAAAGCACGACACACTGATATGCACGATTATCGTTTTTTACTATCAGCACGACAATCTGGTGAATTACCGAAACATAAATAACGGAAAAGATGCATGGAAAATCATTACGCAACATCTGTTGCAAATTTTCCACCATCGATTGAAATCAAGTAAATGCGCAGTATATGCAATGAAGAGAAAAATTGAATTTTGCACAGCTCATGCGTAGAATATTTGCTGAAAAATATACATTCATATGATATAATAATAATCACGATCATCTGACCATTTCGAGTGGTAATCACGAACCGCTGAGGTCGATGATTGCCCGCTAAAATAACCTTGGCATTAGAACTTCGCAATGTTAAAATTACGCGCACATTTCCTTCATCAATTTTCGTGCGGTCGACAATTTGCACGATTTGTGATAACAGGTTGTCGTATCTAGTTTCGGAAGGATTTAATGATAACAATGTTTGTAATCTATTACCGCCTTGAACACAAATAGCGGGAATCGCACAAACACTTACGCGGTCGGTTCGCAAGAATCAGCCACTTGATAAAGGTCAGGTAAGGGCACGAAGAAAGTGCGTAGAAGTGTAATATTAGAACGAAAATGTCAATATTTGTTCTACGGATATTAGCGTTTGCATAATAACCACTAAATGTTATGTAAATATAATTGAAACATGTAAATTTTCTAAATTTATTCGTTGTTATATTCTGGAATTTGTTTTCCTTAGTCAATTGCTTATTAGAGCAAATACTACAATTTATCTTTTATTTTTTATTTATTTATTACATTTTTTTCTTTATTTTTTTCTGCGATTGTTATTATTATTTTTCATGTGTAATTTAGCCCTATAACTTATAGAGTCCTGTCAATAACTTTGTATATGATTGAATGAATAAAAAAATGGAACGACAATGATCTCAAAATATATAATTGAAATTGGAACAAGTAAATGAAGTTTAATAATTTTGAATCTCATATTTTATTAATATATTATTTTATTCCTTTATTATTATTTTTTTATGTTAATCAAATCTTGATTTATTTCATT